ATCAATGCCTCAAAAGTTCTCATTAGCTAAGTAACTGTGTTATTTTATCTATACAATACTCAGTCGTTATACAACTATTGACATTTCTTAATAGTGATATTTTAGAGCTTCTTTTGAGAATGTGGAAGGAAAAGGAAAGTTTTTGTTTAATGTAAAGTTCAGGAGTTTTAGGTTACTTGCTATAGAATTTATTAAAACAAAATTTGGTTTTTGTTAAATTGATCAGGTAATAGCAACCATGTTTTAATATTTGATCAAATTCACTGCACATGAAAAACAATGATTCTTTCTGATGCATATGAGAAAAGCTTCTAAATAGACTTCCTTCTCTGACAGACATCTCTCAATTCTAGAATCTAAAAAGAAAAAAGATATATATCCTTTCTAAGTTTAATTAAATGTATTTGTTATAAGCTGGATTCATTCCGATTGTAGTCTTACCATTTACTACCGCATGATAGAAGCAGATTTCTGTTCATGCCTCAGCTTAGTCTATATGTATATTTAGATACTATAATGATTGTCTCATGCTCCCAATAAGGGATACCTGTAACAAAAAAATTATGTGAAGTGTTCCTCCTAGAGGGTGTGTCAGATAAAACACTTTAAATATGTGCCCTAAAGTGACAATCATAATGGAATTCACAACTTTCTAAAAACAAAGTCTAGAAATATATTTGTATTGCTATTGACTGAACCTGAAGTGTCCCTCAAAGCCCCATATGTTAAAGAATTGGTCCTCAGTGTGGTGCTTTTGAGAGCCAGTGGTTAGGTTACTAGGGGCGCATTCATAGGCAGATGCAGGGACTGGCCTCCATCTTGCTCTCTCTCTGCTTCCTAGCTGACGTGAGGTGTCCGCTAGAGCTCCACTATGTCCCCTTCGCACTATGTCATCTTTCTTCACCACAGGCCCAAAGTCAATGTAGCTAAGAGGCAATGAACTGAAGCTTGAGACAAATTAATCCTTTCTTCTTCAAAACTTAATTTGTCAGGAGTTAGTTACAGTAATGGAAAGCTTACTAACACACTTATAACCTCTGAATTTTGTTCTAACAAAATTTTTTGTCTTTATCTTAGTACTGACTGTACAGAAGAATGTTTCTGTTGCTCTCTCTCTCTCCCATATATATGTAACATGTAGACAAATATATTATTTATTTGTTTGTTTGTTTATATATACTGGCAATTGATTCCAGGTTCTTTACACTGAGCTGCATCCCCACCTACTCTACCTCCTTTTTTGTCTTAGAGACAAGGACTTGCTAAGATGCTTGGTTGCCCAGATTAGCCTCAAAATTGTCATCCTCCTGCCTCAGCCTTCCAGTGTGATGAAATTACAGGTTTACACTACCGTGTCCACATTTTATACTGATATTAAACTATTTTTGATGTCTCGGGGATATAATATATTTAAATTCCTAGAGTTGGAATCAGAACTAGAAACTACCTGCATCAGAAAGTCGATGCTAACATTTTCCTTTCACTATTCTGTCCCCATTTCTGCTTTTGTCCTCTTTTGGGTGCTGGTATAATGACTGTAATCATGAACAAAGTCAGACTACAAGCCACATACTGAAGATAGTAAAGAAAACAGGTGCCCAAAGACTGAGACAATGAAGACCACGTGCAGATGATATGTCATTTTGCTTTGCCTACTTCTGGTCTTCAACCATTGGTTTCTAAACTGGGTAACAGATATGGTCTCTTCATCAACAAAATTAATTGCTTATACATGGCAACCGTGAGAATAAGAGTAGACAAAATTTTTAAAGGTTTAAAAATATTTGAATTTACGTACACAAATCTCTCGTGGCACGTGGCAGACCAATCTCTCTCTAAAAACGTATGTCTGTCAGTACTGGGGAAAAATGAAAGGCTGCTGTCTCTGTAGTGACATGCTCATCCGGGTCATGTGTTGAACCTCGCCCCCAACCACAAGGAGTCTCGACACAGCGAGGCATGAACTTAGCCACCTCTTTGAGTCTCTTCATCTTCACTTGACTGAAATTGTGAAATTCCCTTGGACATTTTCCTTGCCGGGATTTCATTGTTCTTGGCTTTTGCCTTCTAGTTCTTTTTTCTGCTCTGACAGATTTTCATCATGTCTCAAACCGATTAACTAGATCATTTTTGACTCATCCATATTAATAAAGCTTTTATTACAGGTGGAGTCATTCTGACTTGACACAGCCCACATAGTGTTATACAATTTTAATTTTCTATTATTCTTTCTGAAGGTATGAAGGAGGAGTCTCCTTTGAAGAAATATGTTTTGGAAAAACAGGAAAAGGATTTGTTGAAGACATGAAAACACAGGCCTTTGTGACCCTTTGTGACCCACACTTGGCCCATTGTAAGCACATGTGTATATGAATCCACTATACCTTGGATAATTCTCTATCACACTATGTATTACCTCTATTCTTTGTCTCTTTAGTTACCTGCATAGATTAAATTATTGCTTCCCAAGGTGGGGTACAAGTAGAGATCAGGTTAACGTTATTAGAATTTCTCTGAAATGCATCTCATTTGCTAATGCAGCACTTCTCCTCTTTTACATCCTTCCAAATATTACAGAGATTTCCAGAGTGGCTTTTGGTTTGCCATTGTCTTCTTTTTCTGTGCTCAACCTATTTGATTTAAGGGACAAGTTTACCTAAGAGGCTGTGAGCTCTATCCACAGGGGTTCTAGGAGGCCCCAGCAAGCTGTTCTTAGGCAGGCTGCTCAGCAAAGGTGGTTACATTTGTTCCAGCCTAGGATACTCTTGATACCTCGTGGCCCTTGGTACACACCAGATATCTCCTTGTGCTGGAAATATACTGTGTTTATGCAAAAGCTTCAAACACTGAAATTTCTTCCTATCGACACAGGTACACATGCAATCTGACTTATTTTCCAATGTTTCCCAAAACGTTTCCAAACACATTTGATTTTTCTTAGAGATGCTTTTCCCCCTAATATTTTACCACTAGAAGTGGGGGAAATTCATGTGAAAGATGCTCATGAAGTACACAGCAACTGCATTTTTGTTAAGCCAAAGTTTTCTCTGACACCTCCTCTCTTCAGGATATTTGTCAGCCTTTTACACAAATTCTTCTTGTTCATTGTTTGCATATTCAAATAATTCCTTCTGGTCTTTTTCACCAGTATGACAGATATTTTGAGAAATGTCTAAGTCACAGCTACTGACATAATTCAGAGTCAAGCTGGCATGCCCATATATGTATCGATGTTTATGTATCTGTCTCCTCCCCAGACACACAGCATGCCCTGTTTATCTCTTCATTGTCAAGCAATGCATCAGGCAGATTGAAGTTACCTAATTTCTGTTTATTTTAGTAAATCCTGTCCTCACCAGTTGTAAGACTGACATTCAGCACTTTTATAAAGTTAAGCAACTAAGTAATTCTCTTCTCAAGTTCATTAGTTGATTTGAACTAGGGAGAATTGGAAGGTTACTGGCTGTAAGAGAAGGGGTCCTGGTTTTATTATAATTGATGCTGTACATTTTAGATGCAAACTGGGTGGTGCGTATTGTCCCTTCTCTGAGACTTTTTAAGCTGTTAAAAAAAATAACCTATGAAATCTTTTCTAGCTCCTTCACCCTGTGAATCCATATTAGTTTTTATTTCCTATGCTTTTTTTGAAGATTTCCTAGAACTTAGTTGACTTGTATTAAAGCTTCTCTTTCCGTAAAATAAAATTACCCAGAGTTAAAATTTATAGTTTTCTAATATCCACTCTTAGGAAATCCACACAAGTCACATGCAGTTTGTTCTCAAATCTGTATTTAACTCGTTAAATTTGTGTAAATAAAGAAGTGTATGCATACTAGGAAATTTTTCAAGCACTCCATTTCTCCTATTTCAACAAATATAGACTCCAGTCTGTGATAGTTTAGTGTCAGCATTTTATGTAGATATCGTGGCCTCACTCTTCTAGATCAAAAGCTAACCTAAGCTGCTTATTTTTCTTTTCATCCTGATCTTATGTGCCCTATCAGCCCCCAACACAACTTGTTCTGCATCTGCTTATCCCATCTCTGAATGTGCACGAAGCTAATGATCTTTTCTTTATCCACTCTCTCTATTGAGTTCAACATATCATATATATGTCTATATATATATGACTTCATTAATATCTATGTTCACTTCATTTTAGCAAAGATAAAATGAAATGAATTTATCATCCAATCGCTCTTCGCATCAGAAGACCACACAAAACCCATCTCCTTAGGCTAAAGTGAAGGTCTCATCAGGCTAGATTTGTTCTGGAGGCTATGAAGAGAAACCCACATATTTTCAGTTTCTAAAGGTCAAGTGCATTTCTTCGCTCTTCACCAGTTTCTCAAATCCCTCTTGCCTCTAGCCGTGTTGTCAAATCTGCTATTGACCATGACATCCCTGCCTTATTCTACGAAGATCCTTATGATTTCACTGGACTCAGCTGCATAAACCACAATAATTTTCTAATCTTAATATCATTCCCTTATTTTTATCTGCACAGTCCATTTCCTCATATAAGGCACCCCCTTTCACAGTTTTCATGGATTAGGGAATGCATACCTATAAGCACCATTATTGAGTCCGCTGCATTCAGCAACCACCAGTCATCTTCCAGTATCACTCAGCATTTAGTGCAGTCTGCCTAACAATACGGTCCATGTTCTACATAAAAATGTCAATTCTAGAGCTCAACCTGAGGGGTACTGGTGCAGAATCAGGCATGAGAACAGAAGAGTTAAAATGTGTTTAACAAATGTGTACTGTAGCCTTAAGGGATTTGTTCAGCTCTAATTAATTTAATGTATTACAATCTAAATTAGTTCTTTATAAATGTTACTAAAACATTTGATAAAGCCCAAATGACTTAGCATGGCTTCCTTATCAAAACATGACTTAATTCCTAACTCACTGAGGAAATAGTACTCAACCGTAGAACAATTCTGAACACCATATGTTGGAATCTTTATGAAACTGTTTTCACATCACCTCTGGGACCTTCATTCCATCACTAGCATTTTCTTTGCTTCTTACTTCATCCTTTGGCTTAGGAAGGACTTTTACTTTCTCTAAATCAGCATGTATATAAACAAAGAGATGAGGAAAATATGTTAAAAGAAAAATATCTTTCCCCTTTTGCTGGCGTCACATTCTGAGGGTAATTTCTGTAGCAGCATATAGTAGCACCTCACAACCAAATTCTCTTCCCCTCCTTTCTCTCTCTCTCTTCTCTCTTCCATGGTGGGTACCATCTTTCAGCCTGACTTAGAGTCACTGGTTCATTCTGCTTAATCACCTTGGTATGTATGTATTTAGTGTCTCTTTTACCTCCTTGGTCTGAACCCCTTTCATTCTTCCCCTCTGTCAGCAACATCCCAGCCCACTCACACCCAGTACATACACACATACACACAGAATTCTCTCGTGTCCCCCAATAGAGATGTATATCCATGTACAGAAAACCACATACATAGACATGCACCGCATGTACCTATCACACAAACACACAAATAACAGACCTTCCAGATAAGACCCCTCACCAACATACAGACATCAATACATTCTCCACGCAGACTAAACCCCACTGTGTACACCCACCTACTTATGCACACTCCCCTGCAAGCAACACACAAACCTATAAACATTCTGACTACCCAGTCTACACTCACTCCCATCCCACATGCTCACACGCATACACAAATGTGCCTCCGCACACACAAACTCACATCTTAGATAAGTAAGCTTTCGATTTTTGTGACAAAATACCCGGGAAAAGTAACTTAAAGTAGGGAAGATTTATTTTGAGTCATGGGTCCATGTGATTCAGTCCGTGGTTTCTTGGTCTCATTGCTTTGGACCTGAGGCAAGACTGAATATCATTGTAGAGATTGGATAGTAGAACAAACATGCTCACCTTACTGCTGCGAGGAATCACAGACAACAAGCAAGGTTTTCCCCTTAAAGGAAATATCCTCTTAGTGACTGACTTCCTCCAACATAGCACCATTTCCTAAAGTTTCCACCACCTGACAATAGCACCATCAGCCTGGGACTAAGCTACCAACACAAGTCTGTGGGGTGGGACATTTCCAGATCCAGACTGGAACAACACCTTCCTCCCTCCCACAAACGTGGATAAAGATGCCCACACATGCGTGGACATGGATAAATATACTCAAACACATATATGGACATGATTCCCAAAGCATACATCCAGACATAGACACAAACATTCCATGAACACGTAATACCCAAGTCTCATCACATATACCCCATGCTCATCCACTCCAGATCAGCGTCCCATTCCACATACCTGATCTGGTAACCAGCACACTGGCACATATACACAGGCACACAAACTTCTCCTTTACACTCACACTTATCTGTGCGCGTGCACACACACACACACACACACTTACATATGCCCCACCATAAATACATATGAATACGCAGGCATACACATCCCTCACACACATATATCCATACTTATAGGAACACAGAGACACACAAAGGCTGTGAAGTTAGTAAAATGTAAGGGGATAATGATCTACTTTAAAACAATAAAACTGATCACACTACATATCAAAATTCATAGAATCGGGCTGGGGATCTAGCTCAGTGGTTCTGCCACCTACTTTGCAAGTGCAAGGATCCAAGTTCAATCCCCAGTACCAAAAAACAAACAAACAAACAAACAAACAATGCATAGAATTTTAGTAAAGCATAATCCAGAAGAAAATTAACTACTTAATAACACAATTTAACTATTCAAATATTACATAGCTTGATCAAGTCCTCAAATAAATCTTGAGCTATACTTTTAAACATTAAGTAATTCTGTGTGCTATTTTAGAAAAATTGACATCATTTAGTATTTATAATTAAATACTACACATTACTTTCACCTGAAATTATGTAATCAGTATAAGTAATGCTTTATATTTTATAAAGTATATCCTTACACTATTGAAAAATTTATTACTCTTTTTAAAAAAATTGAATTTCTGTCAGTACATTGTTTAGAATATATGTGATTAAATTAATCATAAAGTGTTGGTACAGATACGTAACGCATCTTAAAGCTTTTGATATCACAGGGAACTTATGACAGATACTATCTTACACATATATCACATCAGTCATGTGATGGAAATTTAGCAGCTCTTTGTGAAAACTTTGCAGTAAATTCACCATCATTTAAGTTGATTTATGTGCAGTTTCATACTTGCAACTGGATTCTGATTGTCATTTCAATTTTCTTTAAAAAATGGTTCACTCTGACACAACACTGTAATAAAAATTCTAAGTAGAAAGGCACAAAACCAGAACAGCGAGGTGTCCATTTGACAACCATCAAAGAAAAAGCTGTTTTTAGAAATAATCAACACCAGCAAAATGTGGTGGAACTGGTATCTTCAGTTTGTAAGGAAGTTTTAGAGGAAGTGTGAAACATTCTTTTTCAAGACTCTAACTCCTGATGCTCATGAGGTTGAGGCAAGAAAATCAGTTCAAATTCAGGTTGGTCAATTTAGCATAACCTTGTCTCCAAATAAAAATTTCAAAATATAGAAGTCTGGGAAGTATGATGACGAAGCTTTGCTACAGAGGTCTTCAAGTTCAGTCCCTGGTACTGAAGTCAACATATGTATCAGAAGTATTTTTGGTGTAGTTTCTTCATTATAAAATTTGGAATCTATATTTTAAATTGCTGCATTTTTTGCCAATGTTCACATTTCCTGGAAATATAATTCTAATCTTTAGCTGGGCACATGGCGCATCATTTTGCAGCCCTCTAAAATCCATGTAACCAAGTTCCATCCAATCACATAAAGGTAGAAATGCTGCACACAACTTTCCAGACATTGTTTTAATGAGTAAAACACGTCTCTTTTCTCTTTGTTTGCTCTATTAGATCTTGGTACAGATGCCACAACTAAAGGGTGAACACATAAAAGATCCAAAGCATTTGAGAACATAATAATCATGATGTCACTAAACTGGTTTTGGACTGCTTCTATAATGCTTCATTTACCTGAAAATCAACTCAGTTTCTATTATGCTTAAGTTACTTGGGGGAGGAAAGGAATTCCATCACTCACAAAGTACTATTAATCTTAAATTATATTGTTACTTGGTATTGTAGTGACCAGCAGTCTTTTCCTGGCTTTCACTGTGCCTTTCAAAGAATGGGATGGAACAATTGATGAATGTGGACGTTTAATCTTTATTTAGAGCAAAAGAAAAGAGAAAAAAGTCCAAAAGAAGTGCATAAGAAGAAAAAGTGCTCTGAAAAGAAGTGCATTGCAGAGTGAGTACAGTTCAGGTAAAGTAATGAAAGAAGTACACCCTGAAGAGCACAGGGTGGGCTGGTGCGAAGGCTCACAGAGCATCAAGTTTAATGGCCAGCTTTTTTATATCCCCCATGCTGATGTCAGATCTAAACCATCCTATCAGAAACCCAATTGAACTCATGACAAAAGATCGGTATCAGGTGCAGGGATTAGTTTGCTGTTGTGCTAGTAAAACTGAAGGCGCCAGTCCCTAACTGGTATCAGGTACAGGGTTGGAAGCTTGTTCTGCACATGTGTCCGGGATCTCCATAACGAACAGGTCTCCATTACTGACAGCTCACTCCTACTTAAGGACCACTTTTCCATGCCTTGATCTCCTGCCTCAAAACAGCAGCGAAACACATACAATCTAGGGTTTAACCTTTCCAAACTATGAATATGAAATGCACACAGATGATGCATGATTATAATTTACCTAATTTTTTTCATCTTAGATCCTGGTAGCAGGGAATGTAAGTTGTTAAATCAACTCTTCAGGTTTAAGACCCTCTCTTCCACCAAGAGCATCTTCTTCCTGCTCCATTTTCCAAAGTCTGCCTAAAAGAAGCTCAGTTTTCTTCACACACATGTGAGAGTCCTTGCTGGTCCCCTCAAGAGAGATCTCATCTAACCTGGGTATGAGATGGTACAATTAAAACCTTCAGATTATGAAAGACACAACACTTTTACTTAATATCTTAATATATTGTCTTGATTATACTTAGGGTATCATTCAGTGCAAATCATCATTATTATATTAGCATATAATTGAGGAACCTAGATGGGAAATAAGTTAATTTACCATAACTATTGGAAGAAACTGCTAGAAAATTACGTTGGAGATATTGATTTGTTCAAGCGGCTTAGAAACAATAAAGTTTCTCAATTGGTTTCAATTTGTTTCTGCTCTAAAATTGACAGTGCTCTTTCCTTTGAGCCTCTTGAATGTTGCAAATGCTTTACACGTACAAAAATGAGCATATCAGATTATTCAGTCCATTGACTTGCCCATGGTTTTAAATAATTTTATTTGAAAGGCTATCCTTGATATTATTCCAGCCAAGTGGATTACAAACGTTTTGCAGCACATTAAAGATGGGCCATCGCTGAAGCTCTGATCCATTGCCTTATTCCTTCAGCTTGTAAAATACTAGTTTATGACTTCAGATTAATGCTTGTTAGCAACTTGTAATATGGATTCATGGTCATTCAATTTTTAACCTAAACTTAAATCTAATTGATCCTCAGTGGACCTTTATTCAAAACAATGTGCTGATTTTAATACGAAGTTTGAAGACTCAGCAGGGAAATGTGCACAGATGTATTTCAAGATATTCTTCTAAAATATCAATGTACAATTCACATGATATTAGGTTTCAATTGGACAAATCAATAACTTCTGAATATGGTTTCATTGACTTTTGTTTGTCTTTGGATGAACATAATATGATCAATTTTTGCATATATGTGGTACAAACAAAGTAATATCTATCATCTATCTGCTGTGAAAATGCTGTATTAATTTAAAATCCCACTACTTAAGCTACTTGTTTAATCTCTGCTTTGCTTTTAAACATATGAAAGTAACATCATATTGATAACTCCCAGAGTCAGAGAATCTTCTCAAACATGTTTCTTCCACCAGATCTGCCATTAGTGCTTTGATGTAACTAAGTCACACACATATCATAAATTTGTTAATTTATGTGTTAATTCAGTTATTATTAATACATTTTTTAATGAATAATGCATATCCATTGTATTAAAGTCAAGCAAAGGAGCAAAGATATCAGACTATTTTCAGTGTGTCTGTTGGTCATGTCAGCCGGTTCTTTTCTTCAGAGACATCCTGGTTAAAAGTTATTTACACATCCCTGGAGAGATATTTTATGTAGGTGAAGCTTATGTGTGAAACTATGTATTTATTATCTACTGAAATCTATAAATTTGATCTTTCTTAAGCACTGTTCTGCATCTAGATATTTTACATAAATGATCTTGTGTACTCTTTTACACAATTAACATTAATCAGAAACCTAATCTTGACACCAAACAAATTTCTCCATATGGTGTTACCATAATTTATTTGATCAATTTTAGTTAATTGACTTTTAGGTTATCTCTAATATTTCTCTATAGTGAGAAACATTGCAATAAGTTGTCCTATGTATGCATTTTTGTATTCACAAATGTCATATTTGGAGCAGGAATAATTTAAAACTTAATCTTAAATATCATCACATTCAGTATGCTAACATTGATGGTTGACTTTCCTTTGTGAAGCTTACACCTTCATCAGTGACGTTTGAGTGCCAGTCCTCCCCACCTTGCAAGCTGCAGTACTATCAATTTACTAGATTTGATATATAAAATGGTAAAAGTATAGATAGTTTGCAAGGCGAATGTAAACTATTTATAAAGTATAAGATACATTCTTTATTAGTCAGAGTTATTTGCAAACAATAGAATGCAGTCCAAATAGTTTAAGAAGAAATTCACAGATACAAGATACCCTGTGAATGATACTTTCTATTTTTGTTGAAAAGTAAGAAAAGTGTACAAAATATCAAAGATATCCATGCCACATCAAATAGATAACTTAATTCTCAAATTCTATAATATTTTCTCTAATTATTCATAGATGATGAAATAAGACTCCAGAGAGGAAGTAAGAAGTTAACCTTGATGTCATCCATGATAATAGATATTCCACATGTTCTCTCATTTACGCCTCACTCCTTGATGTTAAATAAGTTAATTATTTTCATGTTATGCATAATTTAACTGGTGTCTCAAAGAACTGAAGTGAATTTCTAATGGTCACTATGCTATCAGTCAAACTTTAGTCTTTCCAATGCCCTAGATTAACTTAATAAAAGCACAGGATCATAAATAAGAGAGCTAAGTTATCTCCGTGTCAGTGTGCATCCAAAAGATAAACTGTATTCATATTTCTTATCAATTTAAATGCTAATGTATGTACAAAAAGCTCTTTCAGGTAGGCTAATTAGTGGGAAATTAAATTCATAGATATTTAATGTTACTGTTATTTTATAAAATATAAAAATATTGCAGTGTTAGAACAAAGTTTAAAAATTTTTTATTCTGATATTGTGTGTTGAATGAATCCTTTCCAAAATTCAAGTGTCGACAATGCAGTGGTATTAGGAGGTGAGGCCTGAAAGTTGTGATTAGGCATGGCAGCTTCCTCTCTCTCAAACTGGATTAAGTATCTTTATAAAACACTTGGTAGAGAGGGTTAATTCCTTCCTGACCATTGACTTCTGACTTGTAAGATATACTGTTCCTCCTCTTTACTGGATACATTTTTTAAGGTATCTACTTGGAAGCGGAAACCGGGTTCAATCCAGACAGCAAAACTACTTGTACCTTAATCTATGATTTATCAGCCTTTAAAATTACAAGAAAATTATTTTTTGCTATTTATAAATGACCTAGTCTTCAGTGTTCTGTTACTGCAGCAGAAAATGAAGATATCTGGTATAAATACCCTTTTTACAAGTCAGCAATATGAAAAAGACTTTATCGAATTAACATTAAACTCCCAAATACAGTCATTTCCCTATAGCCACTGATTCCACATCCACCAGTTTAGTCAATCATCATTGACAAAACTAAAAATTGTTGAACTTTTTCATTAAGTTTATTGTTACTTTTTAGATAGACAGTACAGTTACATTCATCATTAGAATCTTGTACCTTTACATGTCAGATCTTGGTTCTTAGTTTTTAAATTATTATATTTGTAATGAACACACACAGGTTTATCTCTTGCCAGTATTTCCTAAACTATACGGTATTAAAATACTTAAAAATTAAATACATTCAAATAGTGCTGGGAAACCCTATTTATATAACATTAACTTTATACTAAGCACTATAAATAATACCAGATATCAAATCTGGAATGCTTGAACTCATGTATAAATTAAAATAGTATTTCCATATAGCCTACACACATCATCTCATGTGCTTTAAGTCATCACTAGATTATTTATAATACAGTACAGTCATGGTCGGAATGTGACTGTTTTTTGTTATATGTCAACTTGAATCCAGTAGGAACCACCTAGAGAGCAGTAAAATACAGTTCTGGGTGTGTCTGTGGGTGACTAACTTGGTGCCTTGCAAATGCAGGGGAAAAAACTCATGCCAGATATGAGTGGTACTAACCACTAGACTTGCAGCTCAAATGGAATAAAAAGGGAAAGAAGATGCTGCTGAGTTCAATCCCTGATGCCAGAAAAAAAAAGGGGCGGGTGGGAAACCAGAACAAAATGTACATATTTTAGAAGAGCTCCCGTTTTTTTTGTTGCTACCTTAGGGCATCAGTCTCCAGTGTCTTCAGCCCTCAAACACAAAAGTGCATCAGTGTCTTTATAGGGAGTTCTCAGGCCTTTAAACTTTTCCTGGTGCTGCATCCTTAATCCCACTTGTTCTGCACTTTCAATAGACTTGAGCTGAGCATCTACTGGAAACTGAATCTCCAGCTTGCAAATGACCATTGTGGACTTTCCTACCACTGATTCTTTAAGCCTTGCTAATAAATCCTCTTGTATAACAATGTAAATATTTATATTGATTCTGTTTTTCCAGAGAATCATGAATGGGGTCGTTGTAGTGACTATACATCATTGTGTGGTATAGAGGCCTTTGTAACTTGTTTTTGGGAAGAGTTTAGAAAGATTTGGAGATTTGGGGTAGGAAACCCTACAATCTAAAAAGCATAAGCCAATGTGTAAGAATGCCCATAGTAACATTCAGGTTCAGGAAGTTTCAGTTGGGAAGAACTTCACTGGCATTTCTACTAGAGGTCATATGTGGTTTGCTTTTGCAGAACATTTGTCTACATTTTTCCCGTGCCCTGAAATTTTGTGGAGCACTGAGATTAAGGGCAGTTAACTAATTAGGCTAGATGAAGGCATTTCCAGACAGACAAATATTCAGGCTGTGACACGAGTACTTCTGGGTGCTTTTCACCAGATTTTTAGGAGGAATTAAAGGGAGAACCAAAAAATTGACAAGCTTAAATTGTGTCTTAAAAGAAAGGATGCATAAATTTGAGTCCACTATAGATGGGACTGCTAAAGAGATTATTGCCATTGAAAAGAAACCAGGTTTGAATCCACACCCATATTCCTCACCACATACTCAAAATCAAAGTGGGTCAAAGACCTAAGTATCAAAACAAACAATTTGTAGGAAGATATAATAGGTAAAATTCTTGAAGATACAGGCATAGGCAAGGACTTTCTGAGGAGAATCCTAATAGTACAAGAAATAATAAAAATCAGCAAATGGCCCTCTTTCACATTACAAAGCTTCTTCAGAGCAAAGGAAACACTCCACGAGGGGAAGAGACGACCCACAGAATAGCTATAACCAGATATAACTAAGAGAGAAGATTAATATTTAGGATACATAAGGAAACTAAAAATATTAGACCTCTCTCAAAATACAAGACCCAATAAAACCTAGGCAACTGAAATGATCTGTCTAGTCTTCAGAAGAAGTACGAATTGTCCATAAATACATGAAAAAATGTTCAACATGTCTGTGCATTAGAGAAAGGCAAATTAAAATCACACTGAGATTCCATGGAACTCAAAAA